ACACTGTAATATAGTTGTAAACAGATATAAAGACACTTAAAGTCTTTATTAATTAACAGTATTTGTCAACAATTAGTACTAGAGGTATAGTTGACATATATCTAACGCATTCTAGTTTTTATTAAATGTTTATATACTTATAAATGCTAAATGGTGGAGGTTAAAGGTTTATTTTTAAATTACTGGCTAATTTTATCTCTTCAGGTCTAATAATAATAATTGTTGTTTACTTCAGTTCATTAATTATGGAAATATGCAACCACTGAAGATGGTTCGCAGGTTCTTCATTTAAATGACGAGGAACGACGGGACTAACCTACAACCTACGTTTGAATGTCTAATACGTCAAACTGGAATATAAATGTTACAGAAAAAGGTTTGAGGGAATTTAATGAGAACATTTTGAGTTGCCTTTGTTTAACCTCCAGTGACCTTCTTAGTGTTTCATTTAGGTTTATTTTAGGTTCGAGCATCTATTTCTCTTCCTGACTAAGCTACACACAAAGACCTGAGTCGACACATTGATGGAACAGATTCAACATTTCATCTCCTGGATTTATTAGTTTTGATCAGGCACAGCGGACAGAACAAGATCCCCCACACACAGAAAGTGCCAAGAGGCCGCAGACTAAAGCTGGCGTCGACTCAGGTCTCTTAACTTCGAACATTCCTCGGAGCTACTCAGCTCGTTTTCATCCATCCAGCACAAAACTTAAGTGAGGATTTCTATTTTTCTACGTAGGTTTAGTGGTTACACATCAGTTTAGTTTTGATCGTCAGAATGAAAACCAGCGTCTCAGGTCATAAAACTCCTCAGGGTTGTAAAATAAAGATCCCTCTCTCACAGAGTCTGTATATATATATGAGCACCACCGGGCTGTATTTGTATATTGTGATTCCTTTGAGACACTTCTCATTAAGTTATTTGAATATTGGGCAGTTATCACAGAGTCTGTGTCGGATGTTTTTTGGCGGAGGAACCCGTCAGCCGGACTTCCTGTAGTTAAAGTCCAGACCCGATAAGAGAATAATGTATTAACCTCCTCCACACTTGTTCTGTGGCGTCTTTGTGTGCAGGACTCTCAATGATTGTGAGCACAACTCATTTCTTCACTTCTGTTACAAAAAGCAAAAAAAGGGATTTTTTTTTAACTTTCTGCCTTATTTTGTCAGTTTTGGATGTTTTGTGTTTGAGCAGTGATCTAATGTAGAACCTGGTTCTGCTGACGATATGATGAAATGATTAATAATGTTGTTATTGTGATGCTGAGCTGATCGGTGCTGGCAGAGACGTTACTCTGCTGTTGGAAAAGTGACGCATCACAAATGTAGTCGTAATCACTGGAGACTGTTTTTGGAATCGGTTTTAAACACTGTTTGTTTGTTTCTGCCTTTAAAAATGCTTTGAATGATTGTTTAAAGGTTTAAAACAACATTGTTCTGTATAAACTGGTGACTAATGAGGCCAAAACAAACCTGTGCAGGTATTTGTAGGTTTGTTTCTGCTGCTAACGGTCACTGAGCAGCACGAAGGGACGGTCGGACAGTTAAAGGCTGCACCAACAATCACACATTTATGCTAAATAAATAAACATAGGCCAGTGAAAACCGGCCTGTTCTCATTCCCAAGGTGTTAAATACGATGTCACGGCCCTCTGTGTCTCCATACAGACGCACCAGGAACCCTTCAGTGTCTTTATGTAACTTATTTTAGACCCTAACCCACTGACAGAGCTTAAAGTGTGAAGTGAAGCCAACATGAAACGGTCTTAAACCTGCATTCTTTCTTATGGCCAGCAGGGGGCAGCTCCATGGGCTGCAACAAATAAATCTGATAGTATTGAGCTCTTATGGAGAAAATGCAGTCGCTTCCTCAGTCTGATTTATTCCCTCCAGTAAACAGTTTCCTGGCCTGATTTCCTGCGTCCTCCAGTCTGCTAATTTCAGTCTTCTGTCATCCAACCATTGAAGCTATCATTGATATAACATACATAAGGTCACCATTATAGAGTCAACACGAACCATGGGGGAATTAGCATATTTAAGAGCAAAGGAAGAGAGGAGAGGGAAGCTTCCTGAACTCAATATAACATAGGAACAAGGACATACCAATGATGCACTGGGAATGAGATTATGATTCACGGCATGAAATAATGGTATCTGGATTACATTTTAAATCTGCTTTAATGTAGATTCAATATTATACTAGATGGTAGACCAACGTTACACAATCATAGGGAGGGGGGGGGGGGAAGGGGGCGAGGAGGCTTGTAATCTTAAATTTTGAAGTTAGATCAGATTCTTATACATAGGAAGGAGAAAATATCACAGATTCCATCTCATTATATATATATATTCATCGGATAAACCAACACGGACTTGACAGCATGGCTCACAAATAGTATATATTACATTTACATTTCACATTCATCCCACTCCTCCTTAGTTCTCCTTGTTTCTAGTCGTACCTGCAGATATATATAGCTCCGCATTGGAGTAGAATACAAACAGTGTGACGATTATTTCATTGGCTTCGATATAAAACTGTGATCCTGGAAACAGAAAACAAATAAATGAACAGAACAAAGTGGAGATAAATAACTGGAATAACTTTTAACTTTGAGCTCATTGCTTCAGTTTATCATTCAGGTGAAAAACGCGACCACTTCCTGTTTCTCTGCCTCGTCTACGTGCCCACACACACACACACACACACACACACACACACACACACACACGTTTGGATCTGCTGTTAACTTTTCGGAGCTCTTCTCATGTTTTGCACTCTTCCTGTATGACACCTGATTCGTTGTTCACTCAGTTTCTGAAGTATATATATATATAATGCCTTAAAGTATGCAGTGGAAGCATATGTTTGAGATGATGATGATGATGATGATGATATGTGGTTTGTGTATTTTATTTGTTTTTCTTTGCTTGTTAATGAATAAAAACTGAGGAAAGTGCAGTCACAGTAGAAATGTTTCATACAAAGTTATTTATTTATTATTTTATCTTTAAAGAAACGAGGAACTTTAATTTGGTGTTGATTCTGGCGACCCCTGTGGACAAACGTGGTAGTGTTTCTACTGCTTTGTTTCATTGATTTCAAGGGGAATCAGACCCAGTGGCAGCCATTAAAAAATATTTATAATAATAAGTAGAAACAGCCAATCTGCTCAGAGACATTAGCATTAAACTGAGACTCTTTCATAAAGTTTAAATCTCCTTAAATACAGAATTTCATTGCTGCATCAAACAAAATGAATCACCTTAAATCAAGTGCCTGATTCACAAAGTCAGTTTAACTTACAATTAAAGTAATTAAAGTCGGCTGATATTAATATGAATATGAATATTAATATTATTATTAATGATTATATTAATGACCAGCAGTGACACACAGAACATTCAGTTTGTAAAGTTTATGTTCTGTGTGTCACATTTCTTTCTGTACATTCATCAGACTGGAGGACAAAGCGACTGAGCTCACTGTCGTTTATAAAGGTTTCTCTCTCGTCTCATCAGATCTGTCACACACACACACACACACACACTCAAACTTTTTCTTATTTTTCACCACGTCAAGAGTTCTGTCTGCCAAAACAGCGGAAATTAATTTTTAATCAGCTCGCCACAAATCTGATCTGGGGTGTGTTGTTTCTCTCAACCCAAAATAAAGAGGGCGAAGTGTGTGTGTGTGTGTGTGTGTCGCATAAAAGAAAAGTGATTGTTGCTAGTTTAAGACTCTTTTTTTTTAACAATATTGGGGAAACAACTCTACATTTGGGACCTGACAAGCTTATTTTTACATAAAGATTTCTTGTATAAAGTATAGACAGTTTTCAAAATAAGTTGCCATAATATATCATCATGTTTATGGATCAATGTGGTGACTCTGTTCGGATATCATTGATGTCACCTGGCATTGAAAACTTCCTGTCCTCAGTTGGAGCAAAGGCCCCTGAAGTGTTCATCCAGAACATTTTTTTCTGGGGCCCTAATCAGAATTTGACCCCCTCCAGTTCCCTCTCCTCCAGGT